GTGTCCACCCTAACCCTACCTTACAGAGACAGGCGATAGTGTCCAGCCTAACCCTACCTTACAGAGACAGGCGATAGTGTCCAGCCTAACCCTACCTTACAGAGACAGGCGATAGTGTCCAGCCTAAGCCTACCTTACAGAGACAGGCGATATTGTCCACCCTAACCCTACCTTACAGAGACAGGCGATAGTGTCCAACCTAACCCTACCTTACAGTTGACCTTGGACCCCCAGAGGTTTTTTTTTATCTCTTTACTACTTTTTTTTGCTTCCTGTCCTCTGTTGTCATGTGTTTTTCTTTATTTAATTTCTTTTGTCTTTACTTTATGCTGTATCACAACACACCCATGTAAAGCGCCTTGGGGCGACTCTTGTGAAAGGCGCTATATAAAAATACGTTGAATTGAATTGAACCCCAGCTGTGGGCTGGAACCAGGAAACCTCTGTCATAGATCCAGGTGTTTATCCGTCATGCCACTTCCACCATTTTGCTGGAATTCACCCTCCTGAGACCATCCTGGTAACCTTTATATTGCAGACCTGAGCTCCTTAACTAGACCATCTGCATGCCTTAATTTATTCATGAATGCAAATGAGGGGGGTGGCATTTTATCTCTGTACACTCAACTCTGTGGAGGGGATTAATATACTACTTTGGTATGCGGGGGTGGGGGGTGTCTGGGGTTCTCCACAGCGAGGGTATGTGATTCACTCCAGGGCAGCTGAAGTCCTGTTTTTGCAGACTGCAGTATACATGATATGCTAGTTAGATTCAAACTAGTCAATTTCACTGTACAAAAATAACTTTTCCTATGCAAAGATAAGGAGAGTCTTCCAATTGGAAACACAAAGATGACACAAAGGTCTCCACAAATATTCCAGAGTGTTTGCTGATTTACCATTGGGTGTATTAAACTGTGAACGATGAAGTATTTCTGTATTTTCAAGTGATATTCATAGGCACACTGGCTTGTATAAAGGAAATTACATTGATATGAGAGAAATGTTATTTAAATGTTTACATGCAAATTAAGTAACAGACAATATTAATGAAGAAAAAAAGTGGAGTTTCGGTAATAATTTCGCGTGGCATTGTACAGCATGCATGTTGTCAATTTTGGAGGTTTTGGTCTTATTGGAATATTGAGTAATAAGACATTACCTACTGATGGTGAAGTGATCAGTTGTTGTTGACACACCACAGCACACAGCAACAAAATGCATCCACTTCATTTAACCCATATGTGACATCATGGCATAGCAGGGGGCAGCTAATTCAGCGCCCGGGGAGCAGAGCCCTGCTCAGGGTACTTCAGTGGCATCTTGCTGGCTGGGGACTTATACCAGCAATCTTTCAATTACAAGTGCACATCTCTGTGACTATAGACATTTTTTATTTTTCGAGATGTTTTGTGTATCTAACTTGAGGCCTACCCTTGAAAAAGCTGGGATATTCTTTAGCACGTTTCCCAACATTGCTGGTACAAGCATAGCTGTGCGAGTCTCCTAATTACGGGATAATATACGTGCATTATAATCAATACTCTCCTGAGATTAAGTCTTTTAATGGTTCACTCCATTTTAACGATCACGCTGGATAACAAGGTGGAAAAAACATTAAAAAGTAATTAAAATATCAATTAAGGCAGGCAGGTCTGATTTTTTCCCCCACAGCGACAGGGTGCTGTTAACTGGGAACGAATAATGAACCAGACAGACCCCGGGCTGGATTTGACGACCCTGATCTGGGGAATAAATTATATTTACTGTTACACTTGAGCCTCAGCTGGTGGCGTTGTACATTCACAACCAGTGTTTCATAATTACAAAGGTGCGTTTAAATAGGGCAAATTATTGGCGATGTGCAATCATTTGTTTGTCTCTTATTCTATTCAGAGGGCAGCTGCTGTGAATCAGAAGTATCGGGGTTCCTCCGAAAACATACTATATATTTATTGGACATGACAGGCAAGTTTCCAACTTTAGGCCAATGGGAGACGTGTAACGGCATCTTGAAGAAGTAGCTCCATCCATTGATTGCATGTGAACAATATGTGACACAGATTTTTCTTGCAAATACAAATAAGACCACCTACAGTTATAATTGTTAGTTTATATCTGGAAAATGACTTAGAAATCAGTAGATATTCATTTTGAAAATTAACCAAAACAAGGGTCCACATCGATATAAATGTACATTGTTTGTATATTGGGTGTCTGGTCCATTGTTGTTGAGGTATTTAAATTCATTTTAGAAATTGCATGTTCATATAATATTTCATTTTTTAATAGTAATTTTCATGTTGTGAGGTGTGAAATAGCTTGAAGAACTTAATTTCAAATATTATTGTGTTTCTGCATATTGAATGAAATGAAATTTTGCAATGAAATGTGTCTGCTAATGTATGAAATCAGCTTGGATGGTTTTGCATTTTTATTGCCTATTTGTGAAGTTTCACGAGTAAGAAGTAGCCTATTATTGCATAATTGATATAATTTCCTATCAAATATTTGACCATGAAGAGACACAGTATCACAGGATGTTATGCCGTTCCACCCCGCCTGTTTCCTTCCCAGTGTGGCCTTAACGAGCCGCACCTTTTCATCGTTTGTCCTAACTTCACTCCAGTTGCTTCTTGTTTGCTCCTTTGTTATCCCTAGTATAAAGGTGTTTCCCAGGCCTGTGCTCCTCAGACCTGTCATTGATATTGATCAGTAAAGACACTAAATGGCAGAAGGTTATATTATTGGAGCAGGATGAAGTATGAAGGATTTCTTCCACTTCTCCAGTATGGCAGTCAAATCATTGCTCTCGCAGTCACGTGACTGCAGTACATCTGGTAAATACATGTCACTGGGTTTCTCTTTCAAAGTATGTTTTCTTCCTGATTTTTTTCTCTTCTGTCCCCCAAAAGGACCCTATATATCTGAAAGCTGATTACCAAGCAATCAGCCCTCCCAATCTTCTCTAACATGTGCCTAGAAAAGTGCCAGAAGAAACTGTGATACAGCAAATCAAATGAGGTAGACGGGGAACAGATTTGGGAGCAATGTGGGGTCCTGAGACAACAGATGAAGCTCCAGGAAGACTCTAGCCTGCCACATGTAGTACAGGTATGTCCCTGTGTATGATCTCTGTCATGTGACACTTCCATTTTTGATGAACGGCTTCAGGGTTACCCAGGATACAATGCAGCATACAATGCAGTATAGCAACAGCAGTGTCTACATGTGTGACATGAATTTTCTAGGAAATAGAGTAGATCTGAAGACAGTAATTTGTCTCTGTGGAAAAGATGACATATCGCTCTTTTAAAACAGATATTTTAAAATACAGATTGTACATGTTCAATCACATAAATTGCCTCCTGTTTCAGAAGATCTCCAAATTTTCAAGCTTCCGATATTGTTTTTTTTTCCTGGTATGGTAGTATTTCATACTGAAATTTTAACTGAAGGTATATTGTGAGTTAATATATAATAATCATTTCCATAATAATTATGTTCCCTGTTTCACAGTCCTGGAGCTATATCTCCAGCTAGGCAACCAAACATTTCACTACATATTGTACTGTGTATGTTACATGTAAAACTTTCATTGGTTGATTGAGTGATTGATGTTTTTAAAGAACCATAACCAGGTGGAAGAAGGCAAGCAGTTCACTCTCCAATATCCTAACTCCTAATTAAATTATGAACACAAAGTCAGCACCACTGGAGGATCTCCTGTGTAAGTCTGCAAGCTAGACCAGTTTAACTTCCGGCTGTGTTAGCCCAAATGAACTCGTCCACTCAGTTTGTTCACTGTACAGTCTCACTATGGGTAGTAGGAGTAATATTAGCCGTCATATGCCCTGTTTCAATTATCACCGTGCAATACCTTTGAATCAGCTCCTCAAGATGGAGGTCATTGAGGGTGATGTAGGTAACCTGGAACATGCTGCCCAAAGGTCTGGGTCTGAACCATAACTCGATAGACATGGATAATGGGGCTGTGGAGATGGGCGGGGGGGACATGGCTTTCTAAATGCATTCTGAAGACACTTACAGCCCCAGCAGCACCCTCAGATGCTACATTTGTTATGTGTTTCCATTTGTTTCGTAGTTGAAAAGACATAATACAGGCGACCCCCAGCTTACGAATGAGATACGCCTGTCTTTAAGTTGAATTTGCAAGTGTCTGTTGTTTGTGTGTGTGTGTGTGTGTGTGTGTTCAGAACAGGTATGTACACTTCTTATTTAGTGTTAATTAGCCAAATGTCTTTCTATGCATATAAAACAGCCTGGATGGGATGCCAGTCAACTGTGAATGCAGACTTAACATGTGCGCGCACACACATCTTTGTGGGGACCATCCATTCATTTCTATGGGGAAAGCCCTAAGCCCAACAATTTCAACCTTAACCCCTACCCAGCCCTAACCTTGAGTAACCAAACAAAATACAAGACATTTGGCATTTTAAATTTTTTGATTGCATTCATGGATTTTTATGAAACTGAGGATATCCAAATGGTGACCAGAAAAATATTCCCAAAAGTGAGGAAGTTTCAGGAACAGTTGACCCTAGAGATGTGCAACAGCCATGTTATCCATTGACTCACTGTGACATATTCTAAATTTATTTTATTATTTATAGTATTTTGTATTAAATCCAATAATTATTTAGTTCTTGGTATCCTCTGTGCATGTGGAATATATGTATAACCGATTTATCAGTATTGGCATGGGGGAGCAGTACTCTTCTGATTTCTGTATGGACTTTTGACAGAGAGGTTAATTAAAACCTCAGGAAAGGCTCTGCTGTTTACTGAGCTCCTTCAGAAAAACATCTTGCTTTTTGATCAGGTAAGCGACTCGATACTATTTCGCGCTCCTGTGTCTCAGTGGGAATCTCATTTCGTTTAGCAGCGACGGCTTTGCTCAGTATGACGGAACACAGAGGTGGTTACATGAGCTTCCGGCTTCTGGAAAGTACTTTGCTGCCTCAGTCCTGTTTGCTCTGCCCATTCAGACTGTGTCGTAGATCTTTGGCTGACAGACTTTGAGTATATCTGAGAAGCGAGGTTCAGCCGTCTGTTTCCGCGTCTTTGTCCGAGATGCAGTCATACCCGGGAAGTGAGATCACTTTGGGGACACTTCAGTGGCATGTATCTCTCTGACTGAGCAGATACTGCAAGGTCTGGCCAGACTTCTACAGGGGAAAGAGCTTGCAGCAGGTCCTGCAGATCTCTGATATATCCCGGCTGCGTCACTGCATTGGAGCTGCTTCTTTAACCTACATTTAAAATGTGCTTATTCAATGGAATGAGGGGGCCTGCATATTGACACCTTATCTATCTATCTATCTATCTATCTATCTATCTATCTATCTATCTATCTATCTATCTATCTATCTCACAGATTTTAGATACATTTAGCCATCCATCCATCCATCCATCCATCCATCATTTCAATAACCACTTATTAAGTAAAGGATTGTGGAGACTCTGGATTCTACCCCAGGCATCACAGGACATAAGGCAAGACATATCCTGGACTGGATGATTAACCAACCCCATGATTAAAAACAACAGATGTACAGCATCATTATATTTGGGGGGCAGGATTAATAAAAAGCAAGAGCAGAATCACAGTACTTCAGACCCTGCTATTCTGGAAATGCTGTATTAACAAAAACAGCGGCTACTCATCATGACACCATAAGCCATTCTGAACCATTATTCTTTCCTAAATTGCTCCAGACAACTTTGGTTTTATATTTTCTACCAAAACGTTCTGAAATACCAGTATTTTACAACACTAGCTACTCTGTCCAGTAAAATTGGTATGTCCTATACTAACTTAAAGCAGCTTGAGTCACATGACACTGTGATAAACATTGTATAAAAACATACAATGGAATTTCAATCTACATCTCCCTAAATTGTGCCTTCAACACTTAAAACAATAATATAAATTATATACTGTGTACGATATATACAAACAATACATACTTTTAATTAGTATAATGATACTGATGAAGCAAGCAGACTGCGTAATGTGTTTCACATCTGTTATTGCCCGTGTTATGTTAATTCTGGATGCTTGCTTCCTTGTCCATACTAGATGTCTTTGTGTAAATACAATGCCTGTTTTACACTTCAAAATCATAAAGAGGTGATTCACACTCAATCACAAGATGCTCATTCTTCTCCATGAACGTTTTTGCAAGCCTTCCACCAGAGATTTCTGTTCAATACTTCAGCAAATGCCCTCACACATCTGCACTTTCTGTGTCCGTGCTGTTTATACAGTTAAGTTCATTGTCTCTTCAGCTTGCCCTCCGTGCCGAGAAAGTGATTCCGGCCAGTGTTTATGTGAATATGTGATGGAAATGTCACTTTTCTGATCCGTATGAATTTCAGTGGGCTCTGCGGATCATAAACTGCCCATGATGTTTGCAGTGAGCTAGAGAGCGTGAAGCGTGGTGCTATTTTTTATGAAGGGCAATTTTTCCTCGATTCTTCAGTCATTCAGCTTTAAGCTTTTAAATCTGAAAGAGGAACACATTGGTCCAGTGGGGGTTTATGGTTGGACATAGTGTAAAGTAGATGGTGTGCAGCAAGCAAATGTGCTGGACAGTTTAACTATGTTAAGCTCTCTCTTTCTCGAGAGCTACGAATGATAGTTGTCTACCCTCTCTCCATGGAAAATGGCCTTTCTTGTTCCAGATAATGGACAGCAGTCTATCCTACTGTCCTCCTCTCTCTCAGTGTCTCTGCCTCTTTGTACAGTATCGTGGCCTCTCTCTCTAGACCAGAGTTTCTCTACCCAGTCCTTGGGGACCCCCAGACAGTTCACATTTTACTCCCTCCCAGCGCACCTGAACTAGACAATCTAGAACAGCAAATATCTGGAACAGGTGTGTAGAGAGCTGGGAGGGACCAAAAACGTGAACTGTCAGCGGGTCCCCGAGGACCAGACTGAGAAACACTGCTGTAAGCTATGAAAAATAGCTTGTTCTGCTCCCCCCTGTAGACCCAAGCCTCTACTTCTATTACTTGCTACTATGCAACCCACAGTGTCTCTGTCCACTCCACAAAAACTCATGATGCAGTGCATCCTTAAACAGTCTATAAACACACCCCTGCACAGGCACTGAGTGTTTAGTATGGTGGGTTTTTGTATTAATGGTTGTGGTCCCCTTTTCCAGCCTCATGGTGTGTATGATGTAGACAGGTGAAGCTGATCAGATCTGGCAGCTCAACATTTGACTGGAACTAAAAGGGGGAAAAGAAGTGGTTCAAGTGCACTTGGATTAATGTTATGACAGACAAATTGAATGACCGTTACTCGCTTCTCCAGCAGCTACTTGTGAAACGTTAATACATAAACATTTATGTGTCATAATCATGCCAATAACAATCTCCGCCGTTTCTGTATCATCGAGGAGACTCTTTTCAAAGCTGTGATTAGTCAATTTTGTTGTGTGTAGAGTCAATCACGGGAGACATGAAACAAAAGCATTTTAATGATCTTGAAATAATGATCTAATCTAAAAATTAGATGCTGAACATGTCTCAGCCCATATTTAAAAAATATGCATAATTATACACTAAAATTTCCTGGTCAAGCACAATTCCACAGCACTAAAATTTAATACATTTTTGACATTCTGGCCTTAGCGTCTTTATAAATTGTGCATGCATCGATTAAATATTAATACTCTAGCCTACAAATTAATCCATACCACCTATGTAATATGCTGAAATGTTTACATCCAATGGGTAACTGTACACTTTATGGGCCCATCTGCCTTGATCAGAGAATTATAACATGCAAGGTGACCTTTCGTGACCTGCCGAACCCAATGACAGGTCCTGGAAGCTGAAAGCGAGGCAGAAGTCATTTTACATCTGCTGAACAACATGGCACCCCTACCCTAACATATTCATTAAGGCAACCTTTGACATCAGCGCTGACAAAGTACTGCAAGTATATAGATGTAGGATGAATTAAGTTTTAACTATAAAGTGGTAATATGAGCATGGCACTGGGCCCCAGCGCCACCCTCCCCCAGCACTGCAGTCTCCCAGCGCCACCCTCCCCCAGCACTGCAGTCTCCCAGCGCCACCCTCCCCCAGCACTGCAGTCTCCCAGCGCCACCCTCCCCCAGCACTGCAGTCTACCAGCGCCACCCTCCCCCAGCACTGCAGTCTCCCAGCGCCACCCTCCCCCAACACTGCAGTCTCACACCTCTTGGGGGGGCAAATTGGTATCTCCAAATTATGTCGCATAATGTGTGATGTAATGTAGTGATCCCTGCAATGGACTGGCATGCCATTCAGATTCTCTTCTGACTAAGTACCAGGCTCAGCCCTGGCAGTGTCTTGCATTTGCAGTTTAAATAAAAAAGAATTAATAAACATCCTTTTCTTAAATACATGATGGCAATCTCTTAACAGTGTAAAAATCTGGAACTCAGACATGCAGTACTGTATACCTTCATAATGAATATACATACATTTTGTTGTTCTTGTTCTTCAAACAACAAGAACTATTAATTATTATTATTATTGTTGTTGTGGTTTGTTTAGCTGTATTATAGTGGTCCTGAGTTAGGATCAATATGATGTAATGGAATCTGGTCAACTGTGATTGGCTGATGCTAAAAATGTCATGGTGAAATATTGAGGCTATGGAGGCCAAGGGGTGGCAGAGGTCTGAATGTGTATTCTGCCGCGCGAAGGAACAAGGGTGGTGTAGCAAACAAAAAACAGCCGAAAAGTTACTCAGCAGGAAGAAATAAGAAGTGACATGAGAATGAATAAGTCTGTGTAGGAAACATACATCAGGTTGCACTGAGAATCCACATTTCAAGGAAAACATTACCAAGGACCAAAAGCTCATATACAACTTGTGTTTGATGTCAAACTATCTGATTTCTATGTACTTCCTGAGTGAGAATTTCCTCAGAGAAGGCAGAGATTATTACCAGAGAGCATCATCTCTACTTTCGTTATAGAATCAGCCTGTGATTGTCCTATTTGGGGGCACAGACCTCTGGTTCCTTGCTGATTGTGGTGCACATAACACGTCAAAACAATGTAATAAATTAATTAAGGGTGACTTCCCTTATCAAAGGGAATGGAGACATGTTTTATGAGCTGTGGCCAAAGTTGTAACACTGGAGTTGCAATGGAACTGAAACTGAAAGCTCCGAAGTGAACAGTGAAACAAATTTTATTACTAGTTTTTTTTGGAAAATCTAACCGTGTGCTATTTCAGTAAAGTGCTACAGAAATACTACAGACAAATTCACCCTCAAGACACTGCAATAAATGATTCAATATATTGAAAGCATATTGAAAGGCCTGAAGAGTTGGGTTGTGGCCCTGAGTTATCATCCTCAGCAGCTGCCTGAACCATTTCCAAATCCCACTTTTCCGGGTATGAGTAGAACACAGCCAAGGGTGTGATGAACCAGGGAGATTAACATCAGTTTTTTTTCAAACCAGTTCTTGGGGAACCCCAGACAGTCCACACTTCAGAACATATCTGAACCAAGCAAACAAGAACAAGCCAAACAAAGAAGAACATAGAATATCTGGTACAGATATGCAAAAATTTGCAAAAATGCGGACTCTGGGGGTCCCTGAGGTCCAAAATACTTATTATTATGATTATTAGTATTTTATTATTATTATTACTAATAATGTTACTGTTAGAGTTTATGTTTATTTTAAATTACAATTATTATTATGGATGCTTGATCACTTTATTATTGTTATTATTATTGTTATTGTTGTTGTAATAACTGTAATATAGTGGTCCTTAGGATTGATGTGATGTTATATGTTTTGTGTTGCATGTTTGTAAGTGCATTAATATATATATAAAAACACTGGTCTAAAATCTCCCTTTGTTGAGGCTGAAGACCTCCTAGACATGGCAGATCCCAGACTCCTAGGAGAAGACAAGCTGTTTCTCATGGGAGCATCCATCTTTTCTAAAGATGCCTTTGCCTCGAAGACATTCTTACTCCTCCTTCCAATGCTTTAGAGGCTGGCGACATAAAACATTAATGTCAGAGCAAACTGTAAATTACAACTGATATTTCAGTGACTTTTTATTTGTTGAGGGAGAGAAGACGGCAAAGACAGGAGGCTGTGAGGAATCAGTAATGATCCTGGTCTTTGTTTTCTGCTTCCAAAGGGCATTTCTCATCTTAAAAAATAATAATAAATACGTCCAGAGGTGGCGTGGCTCCCAAATGCTTTTTGTCTCCTACCGGAGAGTGTTTTGTCAGCCATGAGGCCGGCAACAGAATCCGTGATCAAATGAAGCCCAGGGGATAGAGAGATCTGGTAGAAGGTTGAGTGGCCAACAGGTTTCACACTGATAGTGACAACCAGAAAAAAAAAAAAAAGCCAAAGGGTTGTTTGGAGAAACCAGGAAATTGCTGGTGAGCTGGACCTGAAAAGCAGACTGACAAGCTGGTGCCGATGTCCAGCTGGTGTTGGACCTTGTTTGTTTGTTTGTTTTTTGTAGGGACAAACATCTGTTCTTGATGGCACTATGCATACCTGCGTCCCAAAGCTCTGGGAATAGCAGAGAGATCAGGGCAGCTGGGCAGTTGGTTAGCTTGGCCCAGACGCGTTAATCTAAGTGAGGCAGTTAACTCTACTCTGACCCCGCCCCCCAGCAATCCCACGATGCCCCTTCCATGTGACTGATGCACCTGGCGAGTTCACACGTGTGTTTTCAAGGTCAGAGAGGAGAGGCTTAGCATGCTTGCTGGAGATTCTTCTCAGCATCTACGAGAATACCCATAATGCATATTCATTAATGTTTATGTTGCTGCAAGATATGGGAGGGGTTGATTTATGCAGGAGTATAATGAGATTTTTAAAACCTCTGACAGCGACATAAGGGGTGTTTGCATGATTATTTAAATGCAACATGTGTTAAATTCAGCACATATACACAGATAGTACAATTTCCCATGGATTTTTACCACTGTTCAACAACACAGATAAACATGAAATCATTAATATCATAATAAGATTATCACTATTATCAAGTCCTGTACAAAACCTCATTAAAAGAAAATATAGTGAATATGTCATAAAATGAATTAGGTATTTGAATTTGCATTGATATTAGAAATGAAAAGAAACTCTTTCACTAATGGTTTTCATGTGTCCAACTATTTCTTATCTTAAAAAACACTGCCATAGTCATGATTATTAAAATCGAATATGAAAGTGAACATAAAACTACAGCAAGTATAAACGTAGTGGTAGAGTTCCTGAATCTCTCTGTAATTAGAGATCGGTGAAACAGGTGATTATGTAGCTGGTACTGTATGTAGTTGGGTTAATAGCAGATTTTACCTTGAGAAATGAATTCCAGGTGTACCGGTAGCAGCATTGATAGAAATAATGAAATTTAAGCTGCTTGTCTTACATTTCTCATTTCAGCCATGGGACCTGAATTTGGGGTACAGCCTTGACTTGGATTTCAGTTGCTGTCACCCAGACTGACAAATCAAAACGCTTCATGTATATTTGAGCAGCCTTTCGCAGTCCAGTCACTCTCCAGCATTTACATGTCTCCTCTCTCTCTCTACCATGAATCCACAATTCGGTGAAGGCGGCACACAGGACCTTCAGATATTTTACTTCCGACCCGTGAATGTTTTAACTCCGTGGGGGGGTGGGGGGTGGGGGCAGGGTTCCCATTGAGGTGGAACATCCCTGTCACTGTAAGCCTGATGGATTCTCATACACACGCTGACATGGCTTCACTTGTGTTGAAGGATTCCTTGATGGGAAGGTAATCTAGCACAGAGGAAAAGTATCAATTAATCAATTACTTACTTAATAAGGAGCTGCCATTATCAGTGGTGTAGGAATCAGGAGGGACATGTCCCCAAAATATTTAATTTGGCTTCAACCCCCCCCCCACCACCCCATAAAAACAGACCTTTGCATTTAAATTATTAAGTTGTCCCCCCAATATCAAAGAATCTCCTACAGCAGTGTATGAAATCTTACCCAGAAAGGGCTGCTCTGTTTCTGATGCAACTCCCTAGTTAGACTGATTGGCTGAAGACTCCTCTCACCTGGGTTTGAACATCTGACCTAAATTCTATCCCAAAAACCTGCATACACACTGGTCCATTGCGGATAAGATTGCGTCGCCTTGTCCTATGCCATTGATCATTATCAATGGTGATGTGGGGAAATTCCCCACAGGAGTTAATATAGATCATGGTGAATCATATTCAAAACATCATCCTCACGGTAGGGTGGGATTTTGGGGGCTGGTGTGTAGCTCTGACCCTGTGCCTGTTAGACAGGAACAGGACCCTTAACCCTCGACTACTTCCTGCCTCCCCAGATAAATAGCTGACCCTCGGCTCAGACCTCAAGCTTCGCTCTCACCTTTATGTGCGCATGGAATCCAACAAAGAACTTTCAATACATTTCCAACATTCACTAAATCTGCAGACATTTTTTTCAAAAACATTTCCCATAGAGTGAGTGAGTCTGCAAATTTGCTCTTCAATTGTGTCTAAAATATGTAACACCACACATCCCTAGAAAAACAGCCTTACAAATTAGGCTTTAAAGTGTTTTTTACTTCATCAAACAAGGTCCTAACAACATTGTTTGTTTCTCTCAGTGATGTGAACTTGCCTAATTGAATAGAGAGCAATGTTCATATTCAGAATAGATTTCATGTTTTTAAGGATGCATTGTAAATAGAATGTCTTATCGGGGTGAGTGATGAAGAGGATTTAACTTTGCAACCATGTAAGATTAGCAATGAATCAGTTGTGGGGGGTGAGCGAGCACTTTGCACAGGATGCGCTGTAAACATTTCAGATGAAGCAAGGCGTGTCAAAATGTTTGTGCTCGTTGCTGCAGCAAACCCCATTACAGATGGACCTTGTTAATGTCAAATTGCAAACAAGCTGTAATTGTATCTATATTCCCCCACCCCCAGCAAGCTGTGACATCCTACGAAATAAACAAAAAAATCTTAAGCTCAGCAACTGAGCAGTAACTGCTAGGCCACCCTGGACTAATTTTCTCAGTGCTTACAGCGTTGCTTTTTCACCCCGAAAACAACACAGCCCTCTCCTGTACCCCTGCATGACTCACTCTGCTGAATCCCCCTATGTGTGTCAGGCTCACATTCCCTGTAACGTGGACGAGCTGTTCGCCCATAGAATTGCAACGCTTTGGGGTGGGCAGGAGCGAAGCGGCTCATCCTTATTCCTGACGAGCCTCGACAGACAGGCCGGTTCATTCTCTGAATGAAGAATCCACTGCTGCTCGTCCCAGAGAGCCTAATTGGACGTAAGGCCCAGATTTTCATTGATTTGTATAAAGACCCAATCAGACCTGCATATATTTGCTTTTTCTACCCCTCAGATGTTTCAAGCTTTATTGTCACATGTGTTCTGAGGAACACAGTGAATTTCTTATGCCATAAAAATAAATTTGAAAAAATCTAAATTGTAAGATGTCTTATTTTCTCCAAAGACAAATAACCTACAATTGAAGGACACTTTTTTCCTTGGGTCTCAGGAGGATATACATTACATTGCTACCAGAAGTATAGAGTGGTAAACTCAAAAAAAACATCCCACTCATTTGCTACAACATCCACTACCGAAGAAAACAGAAGAGAAAAAAAATTCCACATAGTACATAGACTGATATCACTCCACAGATGTGTTTACTGCTAATCCATCGCCCGTGTTGTGCCGCATGCATTAATGCATCAGCTTTTTAATTATTCAGAGTAATGAGTCTTAGCGTGCATGTTGAGTCATGGTACACTGGTCTCAAGTAGAAGGTTGAGTGACTTAAATTATAGTGAACTACACTTTGCTGTACGGGAGCAGGGAAAAATCACTTTAAGGCAACAGTGAGTCGCTGTGTGATGTATTGAGAGAGTGTACTGATTCTGAGGGACAATCTTAGTGTTTAAACATATGGGAACACCGAACCTAGACTGGGCATGAGGGGAGACAATGAACTGGAGAGGGGTGGTGGACTGGGCATTGGCTTTAGATTTCTAGGGACGAGAGAGAACCATTTGTAGGGAGGCTGCTATGTTATGCTGTATTAAATTAGCACATTAATTACTGTAATGAGTGACACCCTGCTTCAGCTGTTCAAGCCCTGGGCAGGGAGTCAGAAGAATCAAATAAAACAGAATAAAACACAAACCTGGATCTGAACCATTGAGTCATTGTGTGAATAGACTCTGGTACAAAATTGTGTGCTCCCGATTTGTATGTTTGACTTTGGGGTGGGGGGGCATAATTTGACCCCACAAATACAAAAACCCCTGAAACCAAATATATCTAGGTTATCACCGTGTGAATGGGGTAATTGATCGTTAACTGCTTTAAGAAGTGTCAACAGGAATCCACCACAAGACAGAAATGAGACTTTCTGTGCGTGTGAGGCAGGGAAATGTACCACCTTCATTTATTATTCACAATTAGAATTTTAGAGCCACTACTAAAAGGCATTGCTTCTGTCTTCTGTAACAGCTTATCCATTACAAGGCTGTGCTGCAGCCATCGCAGGAAGCACGGCAAACGAGGCGCAGGACACCCAGGACAGGACACCAGCATGCTCACGCTCATGACAAAGAGTCATAGAAAACGAAGTTCTCCTTAACTGTACATATTCAAAAACCCTCTCATTGGGGTCCAAGAAGAACTTTCCATCCGACACCAACAAGCCACACTAACATTGTGCAGGAATAAGTATGTAGGTGTTATGAAGGTGGTGGAAATGGCTTTCAGCCTGTGATACCCAGCTAGTCGGCCTGCCAATATGGGCTGGTCTCAGCTTCTGGTCTCATGGCTCTAGCCCGGTCATAGAGGGTCAGCTCCAATGCTGAGATACGGACAGGTGTTCGTACAAGTACATGCTCAGCTGCATCAGCGGCGTGTCAGCCGCACGCTCAGCCCCACACACAGCCGCACGCTCAGGCCCACACACAGCCGCATGCTCAGCCCCACACACAGCCGCACGCTCAGCCCCACACACAGCCGCACGCTCAGCCCCACACACAGCCGCACGCTTAGCCCCACACACAGCCGCACGCTCAGCCCCACACACAAC